TATACTAGTGGATGCATTACAATGAAAGTGTATACTAGGAGATGCGTTATAATGAAAGCGTATACTAGGGGATGCGTTTCAATGAAAGTGTATACTAATGGATGCGTTACAATGAAAGCGTATACTAGTGGATGCGTTATATTGAAAGTGTATACTAGTGCATGCGTTACAATGAAAGTGTATACTAGGAGATGCGTTACAATGAAAGCGTATACTAGGAGGTGCGTAACAATGGAAGTGTATACTAGGGGATGCGTTACAATGGAAGTGAATAATAGTGGATGCGTTACAATGAAAGTGTATACTAGGAGATGCGTTACAATGAAAGTGTATACTAAGGGATGCGTTACAATGAAAGTGTATACTCGGGGACGCGTTACAATGGAAGTGTATACTAGGGGATGAGCTACAAAGGAAGCGAAAACTAGGAGATGCGTTACAATGGAAGTCTATACTAGTTGGTGCGTTACAATGAAAGCGTATACTAGTGGATGCGTTACAATGAAAGTGTATACTAGGGGACACGTTACAATGGAAGTGTATACTAGGGGATGCGTTACAATGGAAGTGAATACTAGTGGATGCGTTACAATGAAAGTGTATACTAGGAGATGCGTTACAATGAAAGTGTATACTAAGGGATGCGTTACAATGAAAGTGTATACTAGTGGATGCGTTTCAATGGAAGTGTATACTAAGAGATGCGTGACAATACCAGTGAATGCATTACAATGGAAGCGTATACGAGTGGATGCGTTACAATGGAAGTGTATACTAATGGATGCGTTACAATGGAAATGGATACTAGTGGATGCATTACAATGAAAGCGTATACTATTGGATGCGTTACAATGAAAGTGTATACTAGTGGATGCGTTACATATGAAGCGTATACTAAGGGAGGCGTTACAATGAAAGCGTATACAAGTGGATGCGTTACAATGAAAGTGTATACTAGTGGATGCGTTACAATGAAAGTGTATACTAGGAGATGCGTTATAATGAAAGCGTATACTAGGGGGTGCGTTACAATGGAAGTGTATACTAGTGGATGCGTTATAATGAAAGTGTATACTAGTGGATGCGTTACAATGAAAGTGTATACTAGGAGATGCGTTACAATGAAAGCGTATACTAGGGGATCCGTTCTAATGGAAGTGTATACTAGGGGACGCGTTCCAATGGAAGTGTATACTAGTGGATGCATTACAATGAAAGTGTATACTAGGAGATGCGTTATAATGAAAGCGTATACTAGGGGATGCGTTTCAATGAAAGTGTATACTAATGGATGCGTTACAATGAAAGCGTATACTAGTGGATGCGTTATATTGAAAGTGTATACTAGTGCATGCGTTACAATGAAAGTGTATACTAGGAGATGCGTTACAATGAAAGCGTATACTAGGAGGTGCGTAACAATGAAAGCGTATACTAGGAGGTGCGTAACAATGGAAGTGTATACTAGGGGATGCGTTACAATGGAAGTGAATAATAGTGGATGCGTTACAATGAAAGTGTATACTAGGAGATGCGTTACAATGAAAGTGTATACTAAGGGATGCGTTACAATGAAAGTGTATACTCGGGGATGCGTTACAATGGAAGTGTATACTAGGGGATGAGCTACAAAGGAAGCGAAAACTAGGAGATGCGTTACAATGGAAGTCTATACTAGTTGGTGCGTTACAATGAAAGCGTATACTAGTGGATGCGTTACAATGAAAGTGTATACTAGGGGACACGTTACAATGGAAGTGTATACTAGGGGATGCGTTACAATGGAAGTGAATACTAGTGGATGCGTTACAATGAAAGTGTATACTAGGAGATGCGTTACAATGAAAGTGTATACTAAGGGATGCGTTACAATGAAAGTGTATACTAGTGGATGCGTTTCAATGAAAGCGTAGACTAGGGGATGCGTTCCAATGGAAGTATATACTAGGGGACAAGTTACAATGGAAGTGTATACTAGGGGACGCGTTACAAAGATAGTGTATACCAGGGGATCCGTTACAATGACAATGTATACTAGGGGATGCGCTTCAATGATAGTGTATACTAGGGGAAACGTTACATTGACAATGCATATCAGGGGATGCGTTACAATGACTATGTATACCAGGGGGTGCGTTACAATGACAATGTATACCAGGGGATGCGTTACAATGACAATGTATGGCAGGGATGCGTGACAATGATACTTTATACCAGGGGACGCGCTACATTGACAATTTATACCAGGGGATGCGTTACGATGACAGTGTATACTAGGGTATGCGTTTCAATGACAGTGTATAGTAGGGGATGCGATACAGTGACAATGTATACCAGGGGAAGTGTTACAATGACAATGTATACTAGGGGATGCGTTACAATCACAATGTATACTAGGAGATGCGTTACAATGACAGTGTATAGCAGGGGATGTGTTACAATGACAGTGTATAGCAGGGGATGTGTTACAATGAAAGTGTATAGCAGGGGATTTGTTACAATGACAGTGTATAGCAGGGGATGTGTTACAATGAAAGTGTATAGCAGGGGATGTGTTACAATGAACGTGTATAGCAGGGGATGTGTTACAATGAAAGTGTATGTTAGGGGATGTGTTGCAATGACAGTGTATAGCAGGAATGTGTTACAATGACAGTGTATAGCAGGGGATGTGTTACAATGACAGCGTATTGAAGGGGATGTGTTACAATGAAAGTGTATGTGAGGGGATGCGTTACAATGACAGTGTATAGCAGGGGATGTGTTACAATGACAGTGTATAGCAGGGGATGTGTTACAATGACAGTGTATAGTAGGGGATGTGTTACAATGAAAGTGTATGTCAGGGGATGCGTTACAATGACAGTGTATAGCAGGGGATGTGTTACAATGAAAGTGTATGTCAGGGGATGCGTTACAATGACAGTGTATAGCCGGGGATGTGTTACAATGACAGTGTATAGCAGGGGATGTGTTACAATGACAGTGTATAGCAGTGGATGTGTTACAATGACAGTGTATAGCAGGGGATGTGTTACAATGACAGTGTATAGCAGGGGATGTGTTACAATGACAGTGTATAGCAGGGGATGTGTTACAATGACAGTGTATAGCAGGGGATGTGTTACGATGAAAGTGTATAGTAGGGGATGTGTTACAATGAAAGTGTATGGCAGGGGATGTGTTACAATGAAAGTGTATGTTAGGGGATGTGTTACAATGACAGTATATAGCAGGGGATGTGTTACAATGACAGTATTTTTAGCAGGGGATGCGTTACAATGACAGTATATAGCAGGGGATGTGTTACAATGACAGTGTATAGCAGGGGATGTGTTACAATGACAGTGTATAGTAGAGGGTGTTACAATGACAGTGTATAGCAGGGGATGTGTTAAAATGACAGTGTATAGCAGGGTGTGTGTTACAATGACAGTGTATAGCAGGGGATGTGTTACAATGACAATGTATACTAGGGGATGCGCTTCAGTGACAATGTATACTAGGGGAAGCGTTACAATGACAGTGTATACTAGGGGATGCGTTACATTGAAAGTATATACTAGGGAACGCGTTACACTGACAATGTGTACTTGGGGATGCGTTACCATGACAATGTATACCTGGGGATGCGTTACCATGAGAGTGTATACTAGGGGATGCGTTACAATGAAAGTGTATAGCAGGGGATGTGTTACAATGACAGTGTATAGCAGGGGATGTGTTACAATGACAGTGTATAGCAGGGGATGTGTTACAATGACAGTGTATAGCAGGGGATGTGTTACGATGAAAGTGTATAGTAGGGGATGTGTTACAATGAAAGTGTATGTTAGGGGATGTGTTACAATGACAGTATATAGCAGGGGATGTGTTACAATGACAGTATTTTTAGCAGGGGATGCGTTACAATGACAGTATATAGCAGGGGGTGTGTTACAATGACAGTGTATAGCAGGGGATGTGTTACAATGACAGTGTATAGCAGGGGATGTGTTAAAATGACAGTGTATAGTAGGGGATGTGTTACAATGACAGTGTATAGGAGGGGATGTGTGACAATGACAATGTATACTAGGGGATGCGCTTCAGTGACAATGTATACTAGGGAAAGCGTTACAATGACAGTGTATACTAAGGGATGCGTTACATTGAAAGTATACACTAGGGGACGCGTTACACTGACAATGTGTACTTGGGGATGCGTTACCATGAGAGTGTATAGTGTTGGAAGCGTTACATTGACATTGCATACCAGGGGATCCGTTACAATGAGAATGTATACTAGGGGATGCGTTACAATGACAATGTATACTAGGGGATGCGTTCCAATGATAGTGTACACCAGGGGATGCGTTACAATGACAATGTATACCAGGGGATGCGTTACAATGACAATGTATAGCAGGGGATGCGTGACAATGATACTTTATACCAGGAGACGCGCTACATTGACAATGTACACCAGGGAATGCGTTCCAATGACAGTGTATACTAGGGGATTCGCTACAATGAGAGTTTATACTAGGGGAAGCGTTACATTGACATTGTATACCAGGGGATGCGTTACAATGAAAATGTATACCAGAGGATGCGCTACAATGAGAGTGTATACTAGGGGAAGCGTAACATTGACAATATATACCAGGGGATGCGTTACAATGACACTTTATACCAGGGGGTATACAAGGGGATGCGTTACAATGACAGTGTAAACTAGGGGATGCATTACAATGAAAGTGTATACCAGGGTAAGCGTTACAATGATAGTGTATACCAGGGGATGCATTACAATGACAATGTATACCAGGGGATGCGTTACAATGACATTGCATACTAGGGGATGCGTTGGATAGGACTAAGTGAAAAGGAAATACACGTACATGTTTGATTTAAGATTACATGAGATGCCAGAATACATGATACAAATAAATAAAGTGATAAAAAGGTTTTACACTGTGATAAAAGTAACGTCCTCAGATTGATTGATTTGCCCACAGCCACTACACCGACCCCTGCCACTTCCTGAACTTCTTCAAACAACGGGGCACCTGTCCGCCCCAGCTGACTGCCAACGGCCTCCCCTGCACCTGCCCCATCAGCCCCACCAAGCTCCACCTGCCCCCGTCCAAGTTGACCGTCACCAACATCTGTGATGCCTGGAAGTTGGCTTTGGAGGATGTAAGTGAAGTCTTGATGATGTGATTGATTTTCATAGATATTTCGCCAAACAACGCGGTACTAATAATCGGTTGTACAGGAGAAGAACCCGATACTTATCAAATTATACCGAGTCTTCTTACTCTCTTGTAGACCCAAAGAATGATTATAGTTAAACAAAGCGAATAAGCGTTCGATGACCTTTTGTGATCTATCTAACACCATTTGTTCACCATGTATTTGATATACTCCTGAGCTCACATTTTACATCATCACGTGTATTTCCAGACCGAGTACCACATAAAGGTCACTTTGAACGACAAGACCACTATGCAACTTCGCAGCTGTTTGGAGGCCTACCTGACTATCGATGTGTAAATACCTATACGTGTCTATTTCATGATTGAAAGTAATAAATATAAAAATGAGTTTCTGTCTGTCTATTTAGAATAATCCTTGGCTTATGATAAAAATCCTTCATGCTTAGTTGAACAGAGAGAAAAACGAATGCCTTTTGGCTTTTTTAATGTTTCAGCAACTTTGAAAGCAAGGTCTATTCTACAATTCCGACCATATCATAAGCATGTGTTTATGAACCACTATCGACTAGTAATGATATACGGTTAACTTCTTTGATAGGCATTTAGAAGTTGGAGTACTAAGTGTGGAAAAGAATTAATTAGAGCCTTGTTTAGATTGAGGGTGGTTTGTAATGCGGTTCGATGTGTTAGGTAGTGTGTGCAGTGGATGAGTGCGTGTTCTGGGGTTTCTGGTTGTTTGCAGTGTGGGCAGTTACCTGTAGTGTGTTTTTTAAAATTTTTTAGGTGGTTATTTGTTTGGATGGATTGAGAATTTTTGGTTTGGTTAGTGGTTTGCTGAGCACTTTTTTGATTTGGCTATTTGAGTTAAGATATAGGTTATGCCATTTTTTTGTGATTTTTTGCTTGTTTACACTTTTAATTTCTGATTTTGAGATGGGTACGTTTAAGCTTATTTCTGGGATTTTGAGGGATAGTTTAGCTGCTTTATCGGCGTTTTTCATTACCGTATATTCCTACGTGGGCGGGTATCCACAAGAAGGTTATTTGTTTGCCTGCCTTAGTTAGGTCGTTGGAGCTTTTAAGTATTTGATTTATTAATTTAGGTCGGTTTTTGGTATTTTTGTTTTGGAGGGCTTGCAGTCCACTTAGGGAGTCGGTAAGTATTAGGATTTTTTTGTGTTTTTTTTTATTCTTGATTATGGAGGGCTGAGGCCATGCCCATTAGTTCTGCCGTGAATATTGATTGGTTGTTTGGGAGTCGGAAGGATTGTGTGGTTTTAGTTGGTTGTGTGGTATGGACTCCGAAACCTTTGTGTTTGGAGGTCGGATCTGAGGATCCGTCCGTGTAAATGTGACACCAATTTGGCCAATTTTCGTGTATGTATGCTAGTGTGGTAGTTTTAGCTATGTTTGGGTCGGTTTGTTTATTTATTTAGCTAGCTAGTGTTGTGTCTATTTTGGGTATTTTAAGTTTAGGGGTGAAGATATTTGATTGTTTTAATTTGGTGTTCATTTAGGTAGTTTGTTTTTCTTTGGGATATTGGTGTAAGTAAGCGGTGTTTACGAGCTAGAGCTTGGTTTTTGGGGCTGATGTTTTGGTTTATTAAGTTTTGGATGAGAGGGTTTGATTGGGACGCGGCCCAGAAATTTAAGCTTAGCTGTTCCCTGCGTAGACTTAGTGGCATTTCTCCTGTTAAGGCCTGAAGTGAGGTGTAGGAGGTGCCATGTTGGGTGCGTGTAATTAGTTTGAGAGCCTGATATTGTATTGAGTCAAGTTTTTTAGATAGAGAGTTGTTTAGGGTGTTGTATATGGCGCAGCCGTAGTCTAGTTTTGATCTAATTAGTGATATGTAGAGAGAGAGGAGGGTATCTTTGGATGCTCCCCAGTAAGAGCCAGTTAGGCATATCAGTTAGTGATATACAGTGTGTGGTTGGCAAGTATATGTACAAGTGGGAGGCAATGTTTATACAGGAGAGTAGATATTGTCATACTGGAGTAGAGAAGCCTGTTATGTACACACAAGGATCGTGATGACAATCATCGTTGAAGTCAGTGACATAAACAAAGGATGAAGAAAGTAATAAAACAACGGGATGATGGCTTATTAAACTTGTTTGAGGTGGCTTAGTTCAGTAGTTAGATGTTGCTTCGTGGAACAGATGTTGTGAGCTCGTCTTGCTAGGGTCTACTCCTCAAGAAACAGGCCAACATTGATGTAGTTTTCAAGAGAAGTCATACCATTCAGAACACAATTAAAGCCACAGGGAAACCACCATCAAGCCACGAGCCGACACCATCACAGCCCTCACCACCAACCTCAAAGACTATAATTTAACTATTACTATAGCCCAACTAACGTCAATAGATATAAAACGTTAATGCCAGAGAATAATTAGTCTCGATTATCTGCCGAAATAGAATCCATCGGACCTAAAAGGCAACATAGTGATGAATATTATATGAACGGATCGGTGAAAAAGAGTGATAACATCAGGTGTTTGCGAAAATGGTAAGCATGTCCTGCTCTTCCAGTAGCACCCGGCACCCACACAATTTGAATAAAACAGTGTTTGTTTGTTGCCTAACGCGCGCAGCAGTAATCCAGCCATACAACGAAAGCCTGTCAACAATCGAGTTTTAACCACATAATCCAGTGATGGACCAGACATTTCAGTTTTACGACATCGTATTCACTGATTGTTTTGGAACTTAAAACGATATCAGTACAGAGATTCTGCTGCTTACAGAGTAACCCTCAGCATACAGAATGTCCCAACAAGCAAATCAATGTACTTTGCAGTACAAATCAGTATGGTCTTTCTGCGAGGAGGTCAAGAAGAGTCACACACTACTGCAGTGCTTTAGTGGGCGTTCATAAATGTTTTTCCACATTTGGCCTGTGACCAAATTGATGCAATTCTATATTTAAGGATTGAAGTTGTATTTGTTGACGTTCATGAGCTGAGGAAATTCCATGTTGCGCGAAGGGATTACCGCTTGAGGCGGCGAGTTTTGAATTCGTGATGCATGGTGGCCATCAACAGTATGGAGTTTAGTGATTTCTTTTGGTAAGTAGAGCATTCTCTGTTGTAATTTCGAATAGACGCTTAATTTCGGTGACCCAACATATCATGATCTGTCTGGATTCAAATACTGTATAATAAATAGCCTGACTCGCACGACGATACCGTCCATATTTGACGTTATTTTTTGACATTGAGGAATTCCCATAAAGTAGTTCTGTATCTCTCCGCTCGATTGACAACGTAATCACGTGACATGCTGACGTTCGTCAGTAAATGAACGACAGATAGCTTGGTAGTGTTCATCTCTGCGAGATTATCCGCTACAGTTAATATACTCTTCAAAAAAAGAAACTCGACATATATGTAAAACCACCTTTTGCCAAATATCTAAAATAATTACATTAAATGAAAACCAAATATGTCAAACAGAAAGATGATGTGTCTTAGTCGCGAAAACACATGCAAAGCACATAAACGTAGCGTTTGGGGATAAATTTTACAGCTTCATCCAAACGCAACCGCCTGTTAAAAACGTGCAGCACAGGATCCTGCATTTTGGCATGCAGGCCCCCCTGCTGAATGGGTATAAAAATCCACATCAACGGCTGTTGATACAGTCCTTATAACGGCAGTAGAGGCGGTGACAGAATGCCAAGACTGAATGCATCTCAACGGAACAACGCCATTTGAGATTACAAGCTGGAGCAACTCAGCAAGAAGTGGCCAGGCACTTTGGCGTATCTAGACAGACAAGCTCCGTACTGTGGACCCGATACAACAACACCAACAGAGTTGACGACAGACCAAGGTCAGGAAAACCAAGGGTGACAACCCAAGCACAAGATCGATACATCCGGCTGCGACACCTCCGAGACCGCACTACCACAGCCACGTCTACAACCACACAGATCCCTGGGGTACGCAGAATATCAGATCAAACGGTACGCAACAGACTGAGGGAGGCTGGGCTTTTTGCACGAAGACCTGTTCGACGTCATGTATTGACCCCACGTCATCTGGCGGACCGTCTGCTTTAGTGCCAACAGAGGGTTATATGGGCACGTGCAAGGTGGAGAAATGTACAGTTTCCTGACGAGTCCCGTTTCCTACTCACACGTGCTGATGGGCGCGCACGTGTCTACAGACGTCGGGGTGAACGTTACGCCCCCAACTGTGTGCAGCAGGTTGTCCCATTTGGCGGCGGGAGTGTCATGGTATGGGCCGGAATTCATCACGGTGGTAGGACGCCTCTCGTGCATGTGGCAAGTGCATTGACAGGTGTGCGTTACAGAGACTTGATCCTACAGCCTTACGTTCTTCCTCACGTCAACGTTCATGGCGGACAGTTCCAGCAGGACAACGCTCGGCCGCATATTGCACGTGTTTGTCAGGACTTCTTAAAGCACAACAACATTCAGACATTACCTTGGCCACCTCGGTCACCAGATTTGTCCCCGATTGAGCTTCTGTGGGACGAGTTGGATCGATGCGTTCTTAGAAGGAATCCACCGCCCCAAACGCTTTCGGCGCTTCTTGATGCACTTCAGCATGAATGGCAGCACATCCAACAGCGTGTTATTGACAACTTGATTGCTTCTATGGGTCGTCGATGTCAAGCGGTGATTGATGCACTTGGTGGGCACAACCGATACTGACATTTTATGTACCCCTGTGACATTAACTGTATTGTTTACGTGTGTCTGTCTAGGTGACACGATTAATGTTTTGAACATTGTGTACATTGATCTTCAAACAGTGTTTCAATTATGGTTTCTGTGTCCTATTTTGAAACAATCGCATTCCATTACATTTTGAAAGTCAGTGTCAAGTTTCTTTTTTTGAAGAGTATATTTTGACTTGAGTGAGTGAGTGAGTTATTATTTAACGTCACATGGGCAATATTTCGGCCATATCGTGACGAGAAAGTACATTTATGATACATTTATGATACATATATTTAAACTGAATAAAAAGCTGTCAACGAAGGACAGTAGAATAACTAGAATATCACAGACTTGATTTAAAACTAGTTGAGAATATTAAAAGGCAGTAAGCATTAATGAACATCACAATTTAAAAATGGGCTAGAAATCGTCAGCAACTGAAGGGAGATCACCATACTGGGGACCATGGGGACTTACAGTACTTTTGCTTCCTGCATGGACCCCGGCAGGATTTATATCATCCCTTCAGTCACTGGCGACAGTGTACCAGTTAAGCCTTAGATTAAAATAACGAAGATACTACGTTTAAAAGCCTAGTGTGCAGAAAAATACTTCGAATGATTTGGGACTTACATACCCTCTTAGGGGGACAATAATTTTA